TATAAAGATAAGTATTAGAGACCACGAACCGCAAATGTTGCGTTATTTCTGACACCGAGAGGGTGTCTGACCCATGTGCAGTAACCCACTCCCCACGATGAGGACCTCCTATGGTCATGTACATTTGTCCTAGCCTTTTGGCATGTGAGATCCGCCGTACACCACTTTCTTAATGAACATCATGTGCTTCATGAACAACATTCAGAACATTGTTAAGAATCATGTCGTGTGGCAGATTCGTGTACAAGTTGTGAAGTCCATTGTATGTGGTGTACAACCTCAAAGGGATTGTGCGTTATGCTTGAGATCCAGGATGACTTCCTCAACACTTTGCACGATTCAGCAATGTCGTACACCACTTTCTTGATAAAGCTCATTATCCTTACTGCGCAGGGACTTGATCACACCTTGAAGGGTTTAGCTAAGTGAGCGAGAGGCCATTGTTGTACTTGCAAAAGGCTTGTGAGGAAGCCTGTTGTGCAGGTCCGTAACCGAAGGTCGGTGAGGTGTTCTGCAAGGTGCAGATCGGGAAAGGTTGTTTCGCTGTGCAACTCCAAGAATCGGACGAAGGGAAGGTGGAGATTTGTGTGCTTTGGGTGCAAAGGAGAGATAGTGCAGGTTGTCAATATGCTGATAGCCCAAACGTTGGTTGAAAAGTGCATGGCGTTCGAGGATGTTGGCCACAGTCTTCGATACTTGATCGTAGGTGGAATTGTCAAGATGTTGTGATAACTTGTACACGTACCAGCGCTTGCAGTAGATTGCCATGTGTGATGTTTTATCGACAGGTACTATAGCGAATTGCTGTTGTAGCTGCCAAAGAGATGTGTTGGCAGCACGTGAGGCAGTTTGAGTCGTCGTCGGCATCTTGAAAGAACAATTGTGCGCCATCTGCGCAGCTGAGAGAGACTGCCAGCAATTAGAGACTCATTATTGCGTGCTGATGTCATTGTTGCTATAAATTTGGCAATATACTCGTACAGACCGAGTTTCAATGCTTTCATCACATTTGCGGTGTCATCATTGAGGCGGTACATGGAGCCTTCAAAGAAGAGATGCCGCAAGTGTGTATCTTGTATAATGGTGTAGTCCACCGTGGCTACATGACCATCAACAGTGTCTACACATTGTCGGAATACTTGTCGACAAGGACAATTCCCAGGGTCTGGAAGAGGCATATTGCTTGTTATGTCGAGTGCCACTTCTGTAAAATTACAGAACCGGATACATATCGGTGGCACCATCTTGTTACAGATACGTATCTCTTTGGCAAGGGCAGGCCGTGGATGTAATTCAGCGACCTCTGGAAGCTGAAGGATGCTCCGTAACTGTGTGGTGCGAGCAACCTGATGGATGTGCATGACCTTAATAAAATTTAGGAACAGAACCCTATCATGTGCAAGGCCGCAGTATGGCTGCCATGAATACTGTAGACAACGGATCATGCACTGCAATCGACAAATGTTAGGTATGAGCTCGGAGTTTCAGACATTTGTTCCATTGCAGCAAGCGGGAACGCCAGGCAGGGGTGGCTCGGGAGAGGGCTCAAGATATAGATTGCCATAATGAGTTGGCTGCGTGTGTAAGCATGCGATGGAGGGTCGAACGGACAGCGTAGAATGGACCTGGAGTAGTATCAATCGTGAAGGGTTTGTCTGCATGAAATTGTGCTGCGGAGCGAGTCGTAGGAGGATTCAGAATACCTCTTGGCCAGGCGCCAGACTCAAAACCCTTCACGAGGGGAAGCCGCACGTTTAAATGATTCAGGATCAATGGAACCATCAACTTGAGGGTATATGCACTCCAAGGGCCAGACAATAAAATGAAATGCGCCATGGAGTGATAGAGATGACGATGGCGTGAGCGAGTTATTTGAGATGTATAGCGGGAATGCCAATGCTGTTGCAGATGATAGTGAGCAGAGTATGTGGTTTGCCCAACATATGTGCGACCAGACGGTATGTGGATAATGTGTGTGCGTGCGTGTGTGTGTGTGTGTGTGTGTGTGTGTGTGTGTGTGTGTGTGTGTGTGTGTGTGTGTGTGTGTGTGTNTCTAAGTCTTCCGCTGTGCTATCTTATACTTTGTATTGAAAGGTCGGTTCTTGTTCTGGTCTGCACCTATACGGTATGCAACAGTGTGTGTGTGTGTGTGTGTGTGTGTGTGTCCCCAGTGAGTGGGATGATGATCTCAAGGCCGTCTCCCTTCTATTTTTTAGGGAAAATTGCATCTGTAGTGCACTTAAAGATGAGAATACCCGCTATACCCAGTCCCACCGCCAACTTGCACCTATACCCAGAAAGCGGCCAGTGGAAATTATTTGCATGCCTAGAACTGAGGTCGACCCAGGTCCATACCGCAAAATTGCACTTGTAGCCAAGTTAAGCCAACTACCAGAATTGCACAAATTATGGACATACCCAGGCAAATTACGGGCATACCCGGGACTAAAGTGGACCGGCCAAATTATTCACATACCCTACTGTGGATTGCTGAAACTGTGCTCATACCCAGCAGACGTTGGGCCACAATGGTCCACGTAATGGGCATCGGCATAATTTTGCGTTCCGCCATCCAAGGCCCGGCCCTGGGTGTGTGGGTACACCAGCAGTTTTGCCAGCACGTTTCCAGGCATGGGCATAATTTCGTCGTCCGAAACTGAGGGCCTGCGGGACGGGGTATGCCTACAATTTTCCGAAGGTGAAAAGTCAGGTACTTTGCAAAGTTGAACGGGGTCCAGGTGAAGCTGGCAGTCAATCCTCCAGAAGGCTGGAGTAATCAATGCTGCTCAGGGGTCCTCCGGCCAGACGGGAGGAAGCGTGTGGGTTCTATGATGTAATGTTTATTCTGACTTGCCGGTGGAAAAGGAACCGGACTGCTGCTCCCCAGAACGGAAAGGAGCCGGGACCATAAGGCCCTGCTTTCTTGTAAGGAAAAAATATAAACAGTTTGAACCGTTTTTTGACTTATGCATCTCATCGGTGTACAGGGGCCATGTCATTTTTCTTCTTGGGTACCCAGGTAGAGAGTTGATAGGTACTGTGTACTGGTGGGCCCTAGTGGTTTTCTTTCTTTGGTATTTGTGATCCTCTTCAACAGGGTAGAGGCTGAGCCTGCGGGTGACGGAATAAGGGCTGGTGGCCCCTGAATGTTTTTCTTTTTTTTAACATCCTTTGTGTGCAGACCTCTACCGTTGAGGTGGTATGATAAATTCTGATACTTTTGTTTAAAAAAATCGTGTGTGTGTGTGTGTGTGTGTGTGTGTGTGTGTGTGTGTGTGTGTGTGTGTGTGTGTGTGTGTGTTTTAGATTTTCCCCACAACAGCCCCAATTCCACCCAGGTGAATAGATTCAGAATCAAAGCAGTCTWTATCCTATTGCAGACAACGAGAGCATTTGAGATGTCCAACACATTAAAGCAATTTTATAATTAGACAGTTTTTTGGTTGTTCTTGGGGTACCCCTTTCATTGTTCTTGCAGCTCCCCTTTTAATGCGCCTCTTACGCGCTTGATTGTGGTTGAGCGGCAGCGTCCACATCCCCGTGTGCTTCCATGGCCCACTTGCACGTTATTTCAGGAGGCAGACTAAAAGGCAAGGTATGCTCCTGTGCATCTCTTCAGAGCTTCATACTCCTGTCCATTTCATTTCAGATCTTCAGCTTATACAGCCTTTGTGTCCGTCCTTCATCTTCATACTTCCGTTCATTTCATTTCTGATCTTCATATCGTCTATACTCTTAATGATGCTCATTCGTATGTATTTGTTAGTAGTACAAAGGGAGTGGAGGGGAGGGTGGAGGGTAAGGGATATAAGGCAGAGTTCTCTAGGAGTATGGGGCAGGGGAGGTAGGGGCAACGGGAAGGAAAGAAATATGTGGAGGCCAGGATAGAGTGACATGCAAGAGGAGGGGAAAGGTGTACCACGGGTCTCACAGATTTCTAAATATTCACCGCTGTGAGTGGCCACCCCTACAGACCGGACAGGGCCGGTTCGGGTGTGGGCTATGGAAGCACCGCATCCAATTTTTGCAGTCACAGTTGCTGCATCGAATGGCACGGCGCAGACAGATGTCACAGTCTACGTGGCTCGTACATGCTAGGAACACAGAGGCACGTCGACCGCAATTATAGAGGCATTGCCGTTCCAGCCCGTCTACAAATTGGACATGACATGTTGGGGTGCCGTACATGAGTACAGTACTGACTGTCATCGTACGTATGGAAGCAGAAACTCGCATGGACTATACCTTCATAATCCTCACGGCACAAGGCATGTGAACCACATGCTAGTTGAATCTCCGGCGGGTCATCACAAAACGGCATGGAGCATCTTTATTGGGCTTCCTCAGTATGTATTCCTTCTCTGTGGGCAGACGATAGGGAGGATCAGTGTGTGTGTGTGTGTGTGTGTGTGTGTGTGTGTGTGTGTGTGTGTGAGAGAGAGAGAGAGAGAGAGAGAGAGAGAGAGAGAGAGAAGCATGGTAGCCAAACAAACAAATCAGATTTGTTTCTTTGGTCTTCCTTTTTGTCAGGGCTTTGCCCGCATGGCAAAGGCATATGTCCCAATTGTGAGAGGATTGTGACCCTATACATATCTCAATCTCAAATTGAAAATCTCTTACCCTTCCAGGTAGCAAGCGCCCATTTCGATGAATTTTTGTGCATACTGGAGATCCCAAAAGCCTTGCATTATGTCTTTTGCACCCCCTATAGGGCCCACTTGCACTGAGCAGTCTGTAGACTCTCTACTGACCTGTCTTTCCTTCTTTTTCTTTTTTTCCCTATATTGTGTTTAGGGAAATCAGGGCTTATGGTCCTGTCTTCATTCTAATTTGGGGAGCATCAATCTGGTTTTCATGTTTGCTCATTGTGCAGGCAGGTTTGATCATCAAACAACGATCCTTCACGAACTGGTGTGATAAAGGGGGATCTTGGGGGTGAATGGGAGTTGTGGCAAGGCGATAGGGCGTGTGGCCAGTGAAGGGTGAAGCACAGAACTTACTGCATAAGTTGGATTATATCGCAACCCGTAAGGGAGGCGCCCAGGTCTATAGACAGGATGAACTCGGAGTCCATAAACATTATTACTGTGTGCAACATTGTTTTTATACTGTCCAAGTGGGCTTCTCAATGGGCAAATGACATTTGAGAAAGCTGCTTCAGACGCACCAGATGGTGACTCATCTAGCTTATACCAGAATCCGTATGATGCTGAGCCTGCTGCAACATTGTTTCGGACATAGTTGAGCGGGTTTGTCACCCAAAATGTGGCCGGGGTCTGATCAGTGTTCAAAAGGCTGGAAGATGGTCGAGTGTCCATGCCCAAATTCCCATCAAATACATTATACATTTCTGCTCCATCCTGCACATTGCAAATTGGCAAATCTTGGTGAGCCAGCAGGCAAACTCAAATGGATAGTCAATGCAAGAAAGTTATCACAGTTTTGCAAGTATCGGAAAAAAAATCAAAATTTTGTCTGTTGATCAAGAACTGCAAGAGATGGGGCTCACAAACCAGACCTGACTGACAATGACGAAACCTGGCCTGAGTCTGAGTCCCTCCTGTCTGAGTTTTAGAGGCTGGGTTTGCATTGAAAAATAAAAGAATCTCAGACTCGTCATTTGAAACCTCACAAGAGCAATGCAAGCCTTCCAGCTTGCCTCAGTAATAAAACAATATTGAAGAAAGACCGTCAGATGGTGACTCAAATGGATACTCAATGCAAGAAAGTTATCATGGTGCCGCAAGTATCGGAACAAATTTCAAAATTTTGAATGTTGATCAAGAACTGCAAGAGATGCGGCTCACAAACCAGACCTGAGTAACAATGATGAAACCTAGCCTGAGTCTGAGTCCCTCCTGTCTGAGCTTTAGAGGCTGGGTTTGCATTGAAAAAGAACATCCTTTCAGACTCGCCATTTGAAACACTCAAAAGAGCAACGCAAGCCTTCCAGATTGCCTCAGTAATTAAAAAATATTGGTGAAGAGACTGTCAGATCGTGGGTAACCCCAGAACGCTTAGACAAACCAGCACCATCTCCAGAAGCCATGGTTTGGGTAGTATGTTGTGCAACTGTTCAGATTCCTAACCGTGCACCTGAAAGAACAAGGGTGGCCCCACTACCATAGCCGCCAACCTGCTTGCAAAAGTGACATCCACATTAGACTCATGGTAAAAGGTATATAGTATACACCTTGGTATCCAGTAGAGCTACAGTAGGGAACGCCTTCGGCACCAATCAAAGGGGTCCTAAAGGATCTGCTTCTTTTTTTTTTCTTTTTTTTTTCCGCCCCCACAAACAACAAGCCCCATCCATTCTGGGGGGCGGCAGTCCGGTTACTTATGCCCGGCAAGCATATACAGAGTTCTAATCCGAGCCAGAGTTGTGAGAGAGACCAACCTCTACCCCCAGATCCTTAAACTGATTTTTTTAGTTTTTTTTCCCAAAAAGCCTGGCATTTTTTATTAACAAGTCAAAATTGAGGCCGGGGACCTCACAATTCTACCCAGAGTTATCCTGGCAGCATTAGCCAGTTTCGCTTTATAGCTCGACTGGGCACAGCAGGACCTCGAGCCTTTGCCTAGACTGCCTTTCCCTGTGCTTCTATGTCCCACTTGCTCCTCTCAGCTGATCGAGCTGTCGGCTGTTCTTGAAGCTCTATAGTCAGTGAGGCTACTAGTCCAGTTGGTTGAGCCCTTGAGGGTTGCAGCTTCAAATCTCAGTTGGCAAAACCTTGAACCCTGACCGTAAGTTCACATCTACCTCAGTACTATGCATCTCAGCAGGAGCTCAGGCTAATGCTGGGCTCTTGTGTCGGGGCTGGCCCCAATGCTACTTCCATGGGTCCTGGCTACATTCTATTGTGGGGAGCTGCAGTCCGGTTCATATTCCACCCGCAAGTCAAAAATAAACATACACACTCACCTTATGTTTCCCCCTCATTACGGCTAGAGGAACCTCCGACAGCATTATTGATTTCTCTCTCTTGCGAGGATTGACTACCCAATGGTATTTACAACCCTTCTAAACAGCATACTGAAAACCAGAGCTTGTCTGTTCCTCTCAGCCCGTAATCTGCTGCCTGATAAATCACACCTAGGTGGAACAGATCTGCCTGTCCTCCTTTTAATGAACTCTGATCCCAAGTCCATGGACATCTGTCCCCCTCCCGTCCCCTTCCAATTTTCTACTCACAAGCGTAAAACCATACCAAAGCTGCCAGAATTGTACCCAAAAGCTAACCCCCATCTAGATATAATTCCTCAGCTGGCCCAGGTATCCACTGCCCCCCATTACCACACTTGTTTACTTTTTTTTTCTTTTGAGAACAGGGCTGCAGTTTCCGTTCCTTGTTTTATTTTATTTTTATTTTTATTTATTGTCTTTATTTGTGCTTTTTCACTTGGATAGAACTTGGAGGAAATCGCCGAACGCTTGAGAGAGCAAAGGTTGGTAGTTGGTACTCATCTTTCGCAGTAACATTGTTCAGTGTACAGTAATTAATGCATATCCGTATTCCGCCAGTTTTCTCAGGGACAATACCGACGAGAAAAGTCCACAGACAAATTGCGGGCTTGATCCACCCATTAGCTTCAAACTCCTTGATTGTTGAGAAAGCGGCAAATCACTAAGCAGGAGAATACTGATAAGGAGTGCAGCTAATCAGCGGATGGTTGCCCATGAGAATCGCATGCTCAATCACGTTTGTCAGACCGATATCATGGTCATGCACGCTTAAGGCAGTCCCATACTCATGCAAAACATCTCGAAGGAGATTTTCTATCACTTTAGGAACGTGAGATGAAACGAGTATGGGTCGGACAGTACCAAAGATCCTGCGCTGGATCTCGTGGGGTTCGTAAAATCACCGATTTCGCACTAGAAAACATTGAACTGCTGGTGCGAACTGAACATATCGTCGCAAGCATTAGGGATTAAGGTGGACTAATCATCTTTGTCTCTTTATTCTCAGCATCAACTTTTGGATCTGATGTACTATGGGTAATCGTTAGTTCGATAAGTTTTCTTAATCCAGTCATTATATAGAGCACCTCCATGATTGGAGCTTTTGCTTCTTCGTTGATCATCCCCACCATTTTCGAGTATGTCGGTAAGGGTCCGAGCATTGGGGTGGAGATGTCGATGTACTAAGACATTTGCTGGTACCTTTCCTGAAAAGAGAGCGTGCCCTCGTACAAGGTACGAGGAGGTTCCAAAAGATCAGTCATATCCAACATTTGAAGGACAGGCTCACCCAGGTGGGAAGCAAGTGGGATACGAGTTTCCGCCGAAGTGAGAAATGATGGTGGTGCGGGTGGGTCTGAAATCGACTGAGAGCTTTCGCCTGCAAATCGGAAGGAGCAAGCAGTTTGAGGGATCATCCGATATTTTTTCTTGGGCTCATGAAGGGACAATATCAAGAGATCTTTCCATTTTTCCTCAGTAGGAATATAATCGAGGCGCTCGGCACCATCGGCTTCGGCGTATTCTTCCTCAGATGGAAGATAATCATTATCACTGCTCTCGGGATGGTGATCGACCAAATCACTCACTTTTCTCTCTCTCTCACATCACTTTCTCCTTCCTCGGTCATTCCTCGATATATTTTTTGATTGCGACGTGCAGTCTTGCGCGTCGATATATTTTTTGATTGTAGCACATTATGTCCTCCTCGAGAGTAAAGCCTCACATTTTGTGCTATCTTATTTGAATGACAATGACGTAGGGCTTTCTCTATTTTTTGCCTCTCTACTATCGGTCACAGGACAGTCAATGGCTTGCCCCCTGTATTGGTAAGTATTAATTGGCGCGAATCGAAGTGAAGGCGCGCACCTACTGCCATTTCCCAACGTAATCCGAACAAGACGTTATGCGATCGTACATCGATTACTAGCGCATTTACTAATACATGCACTTGACCAACCTTAATCGCCACATTCTCCACTATCCTGACTATGTTCATCGTCTCTTCGTCTGTTGAAACATAGTTATCTTTATTGGATAGAGGAAGGATTAAGTTCAACCTACCCATCTTTCGCACGACATCCAAGGAAAGAGCTACTGCCGACGAGCCGGTGTCGATCAAGGCATTGAAAGGCTTTCCCCATACTTCACAATCACGCTCGGTGCTTTTCCACATGACACGTCGAATACGGATGAAGTGATTTTTTTTTGCATATGAAATCTTGGCTACGTGAGCAGCATCCGGGACAACCACCTCAACAGGTTGATCGCCAAGCAGGGTCGAAGCAGAAGTGAAAGCCGATGGTCCTTTCGAGGATTCCTTGGATTCCTCCTCCTTCAACATCCGTTGAATTCGTTGGTAGGTGAATCGTTTTTTATTCTTCTGATAATGTTGCAGCAGCTTGTCGTTTGCAACCTCGGATACGGTGAGGAGGTGACCGGTGGGGATCTCCCCATTCTGAATTGCAGTCCTTGCTCTGAATCACGTGACACCCACTCTCGTTCCTCCTCTTTCTCCCCTGGTCGGATGACGTCTATCAATCATGCTAATCGACGTCGTTGACCGCTTGACGTGGATGCTATGAGATCTGCGGGTGGGACGGGGAGGGCCGATCCTTCTCCTCCTCCAAGAAGAGTGGCAACTCGTCCTTGATTAGTAGCGACAGGAGAAGCGGCGGGCGGAGCCTGTTGTTGCCTTGGAAGAGGGCGTTCTCTGGCAAAATGACTAGGTTGCCTGCATTTGCAACATGGCCAAGGGGCAGCGGCAACATCGGCCACGTGGGCTGAGGCCATGGCACCAGGGCCCTGAGCTGGTACTGTGGTCGGAAGAGCTGGGCGAGCGGGAGGGGCCAGGGGTTGAGGATACTGGGGAAGAGCGGCTGTTGGAGAAGGATGAGCTACTCCCTGTGCTAAAAATTTCCATAACACATTCTCCAGCCGACCCAATTGCACATTCTGGTTTTCCATCAGTGCACTCATCCATTCTGATTAATTCTTGGACACAACATAAATTAGTTGTGCCAAATGCGAGTTAGTGACATCAAGTGTCCAGGTATTCGCTGCAAGCGATGGTGCAACTGCGGCGACAGGCGCAGGCACCGGAGCTGGAGGAGGGGGTCGAGAGAGGAAAGGCAAAGGATTGGGTCGTCGTGTAACTACCGAGACTATGCCCTGTTGATCATTGAGTCCGTTAGGTACATCAGGAGCATATTCCAGCCCCTCCTCGTAGAAACTGTTAATCGATTGTAGCCAGTATCGGTGTTTCGTTGTTACATTATCAATCGTGTCTACAACATTCTCATTATGCCTGTCTATGTATTTCTTCATATCCTTGTCATCCGGTTCTATGGCCATGTCCACTATCTCGTTCAACGGGGTCCTTTCAAGCGAGCTTCGCCTGAAAGGTCCGGATTCCGTAAGTGATTGATAAACAGGTCTCGTGCAATTGTTTCTTCTCTTCCTGATTTTTCCAAGGAAGTGAGGAGTCGGTCCACAAAGTCAGGCAGCAACTCCCCTGGTTCCTAAGGTTGATTTTGTACCACATGCCAGGCGGCATCCTCAAGGACCCTGTGAAAACGCTTCAAGAAAGTTGTTTGAAGTTGTTCCAATCTACCCATGCATAGAGCTTGAACCGATCACGCGCAGAACCTAATAATTGCAATTGTACGATATTAGCCAAGTAACCAAGAACATGCCCCTGAGCTTCGATGGCTTCACGCCATCCTTCCGCATTGGTGTAGTAAGGATAATACAAGTAGCTTGTAGGGGTCAACAAAACCATACGTGGCACAGGTGCGGCCAACGGTTGGTTTGGCTGATTTTGGTTGGTATTATTGACCGCGTTAGCCAGCGCTGCTCGAGCTCTGGTTCGAGCCTCCGCTGATCGACTACGAATGACATGAGGACTTCTCCTAGGTGACTGTGTAGCACCTCTTCTCTGTCCTCTCGCAAGTTCGTCACCTTGCTCTAAAATCAACACGTGTCGGCTCCGATAACAACCTCACGCCCTGCTCTGCTTTCCTTGTCGAAATGACTGAAGCGCTGAAAGGGGCCCGAAAAGCGGCAAAATGGGGTGTGCCAAGGATTTAAGGGAAATTCGGTGTGGAGACACAGACATAACTGAAATCTCCCATGTGGTCCCAAATATGGAGCAATGAACAATATGTGGAAAGGATAAGGAAGTGGGCCCTTCCTCGACGGCTACCTATTCCAAAAAGTATCTTTGAACCTCTATGCGTGCAGCACCGCATCTCTTTTTGGGTCAAAAGGAGTGTGGAAAGCACGGGGTCTCTTTTTGGTTCAAAAGGGGTGTGGAACACACATCAGATCTTGGTTTCGAAGAAGGGACCGACACCGTTTGTTGTAGAGTTCTAAATCTGAATTAGAGGCTTGTAGCCTCACTGCTTTCTGCTTGTATTCTTCCTCGCCACATGTACGATAGTTGAACCCTTGGGCTTGAAATCACGCTGTGCGACATCAATCGCTGCATAGGGTGCAAGGCCCACGGGGAGCAACCGTCGGCCACGGGACAATGATCAACTCGTTGAAGGGGAGCAAAACGAAATAAGGAATGAGTGTCCACAATCACAAAACCTGCATTAACAAACCATGAACACCGTGCTTCGAAGGGGAAGTGACAAGGGTCGCCTATCTTGACGACAACTTCTCGTATGTCCCACTCGCAGACATGCGTCCTTTCCTCATTGTACAGGAAAGGTCGCGCATGGGGAGGTTCGAGAAATTGGCGCTCCGATGGCTGCTGACCCGGTCCAAATGGCCGATATACACACATCCACCGCTCACAAGACAAGGCACTCAAGTCTCATTAGATCTGGGGATCGTCTCCACATTGGAAAACAGACAGCGTGATGCAATCGTTGCGTGCGATACTCCACCGCGGTAGGGGATTACCCAGGAAACTAATGGAAGAGTTCAGGAAGAAGTTCTTCCGAGCCCTCTCCTGTTCAAACAGTTGCACAAATATTCCGAGAATCCCAACCGAGTGTCGACAACCTCAAACCACCTCATACTAGGCTTCTTCAAGCCTTCAGGAGACTTCTTCCTCCCTCCAATCTCCTCCGTTCAACTCTTGGTTATGGCACCCACCCAGAATCCCAGCGACCAGCCTCCAGAGCCTGCAGAACCCCAGCGCCACCTCCCAGTAATATTGAATTTAAAATTTCAATACGAGTGCCTCGTCTCTCTCCTGTTCAAACAGTTGCACAAATACTCCAAGAATCCCAACCGAGTGTCGTCAATGTCAAACCAAAACATACAAGGCTTCTTCAAGCCTTCTGGAGACTTCTTCCTATCTCCAATCTCCTCCGTTCAACTCCTGGCTATGGCCCTCACCCAGAATCCCAGTGCCCTCCAGAGCCTGCAGACCCCCAGCACCACCTCCCTGTACCCTTTTATGCAACCCCAGCACCACCTCCCAGTACTCTTATCTGCGCCTCCTAGGATCCACTCAGATTAACAGCACCAGCCCAGGAACCACTCAGGGCGGACAGCGCCAGCCCAGGAACCACTCAGGGCGGCAAGTGCCAGCTCCTGGATGAAGAAGGAACCCCCCAGCTTAAAGAAGAGGAAAAGAAACTGCCATGTAGAAGAAGATATGGCAGCGCCCAACCCCAACAGCATAGAGATGGTGTCGCCAGGCACAGCGCCTGACGCACCTGCTTCAGTGCTGGCTGTGGAAGCTCAGCGGTCCCCTACAGCTATGTTGCTGCTGTGGCAGCCTGGCACCGTCAACATAGCCTCCAAGCAACATGCTCACCAACTGCAGACCAACAGGCCAATGACCTGGCCTGCCAAAAAGACTTACCTCTATGGACTGACTCTATCTATGGTTCTGGACAGGGACTCGACCTATATAGGACAGCTAAACTAACTGGCCTGACTCTTTCAGCAATGGTTTTACCGGTCCCAGACACTCATGAAGAGTCACCTGCCCCTTGCAGTCACGAATAGTCACCAGTCCCTTGCAGTAGCAAAGAGTCACCAGTCCCTTGCAGTAGCGAAAGGTCAATTTAGGCATGGACTGGCGTTAGGACCAGTAGTACCAGTTTTCAAGAATTTGCAGAATTGTCCCTGTCGGACTAGGCCTGTTTTCAGTTACCAGTTGGGGCCCAAAAACAAAAACGACCCAGTTACTGTTACAGCCTGCTAAAAACTGCACGTTCATTGCAAAGCAATCACTGCTCAGAGGGGTTCTCCAGGCTGTAATGCGGGCAAGCGTTGAGTTGGGTGTACACGATTCACCCAGGGATGTTGGGCCTGCTCCCAGCAGATGCCGCCCCCCAACCAATAGACAGGTGATTATTTATATAAACTTACTATGAATAAAAGAAAGAATTGCTTGCATTGCAACTATGTGCAGAACCCACTATGAAATAATGTTGCAGGATGAATTAGTGTCCTACCTCCACAAAAAAGGTGTGGCCCATGGTTCTGTAGGCCACGTTGTTTGCCACTGTGAGATTGTTGACGCCATGGACAGCAATTGCCCTGTTGTAGGTGTGATGAATACTGCAGTTCTTGACATAAGATCTGGACACTGTTCCAATCATGTGGAAATGAATTGGATAGCGGCCCAATCGGAAAGCTTGACCTGGAAACCATGCAGAAAGACCACAGCACACAACCAAGCTGTGTAAAGTCATCAACATTCTCAGTTTTACGTCCTTGCTTTTTCCTTTCCCAATGAGATATGCTGCTGCCAGCAGCAAAATTTCTTCCTGGAGGATGGAGAATGCAAGTCCATACAGCATTCCAGGAGGCACTTCCAAGAGGTCCTCTCGCAGTGTAAAGCATAGAATCATAAACCACTGTCTTTCCTTTCACGAGGGCTAGTTTTTTTTTTTCCCCTTAAAGAGAACCTTATGGTCCTGGCTCCTTTTCCATTCTGGGGAGCATCAGTCCGGTTCCTATTCCACCGGCAAGTCGAAGATAGTACAAAGGTTACTCACTCACACTCCTCCCCCTTATGGTGTGGAGGCCCAGAAGACAACATTGATTACTTCCTTGAAGGAGGATGTACCGATCTTCACCCCTGCCTAAGTTAGCCTGTTCTAGTAGCTGCTGCTTCTTCTTCTTCTTTCTCTTCGTTCGTTTCTTCTTCCTATCTTCTTCCTCTTCTCCTTCTTCTTCTTCTTCGTCGCGACTCCGATCCCGTTCCCGCGCAACCTGCCCTCCCCGACTTTCGATCTTCCCCCCCCACACACCGTCTTCCCCCCTCCCCCGGCGCATTTCCCCCCCCCGCACCCGACTTCCTCCCGCGCTATCCCCGCGCGCGACCCTGACTCTCCACGCCCCCACCCCAACCCGAATCAGGACCTCCCCC